CATTAAAATCAGCTGTTTTGATTACATTATTCGATCATTTGTTTAAATGTTTTCTTTTCTGTTAAAGATTGATTTAACTAAAAATTTTGAAAAGGCACTATTTATGCTGCTTTTTTGTTTATGTTGTTGAGTTGAATGTCTTGCTATCCTCTTATCTATTGCGAGGATCGAGTACTTAGTTTGCCGTTACGACTCTTATTTTGCTTGTTTTGGTAAGAGCTTTACGGCACTCGCTACCACATAAAGTTATTTGGACGCGTGGGACACATTAAGAATTTTCAGATTTTTGTTGGAATTATTTTTCACTTTCACCTTGTTGGCGGCTGATGCCTGCTGATATCGATTTTGGAAGGGGGAGAGGGAGGAGGAGGAGGGAGGCAAAAGGTTGAGACGAAAGCAGACATCAGAACATGGTTAGATAGAGAGCAGGAAAGGAGGAGAAAAAGGAGAACATTTTAGAGATAAATAATTCCGTCGCGGTCAGGTGATTAAGTGAAGAACACCGTAACCTCTGGACCACGAGAGCTCCCGTCGGGTCTAGACCTTCCGTTGATGACTTTCGTAACTCGCCGATTAATCTTATTTATCACTGCATTTTCCTAAAATGGTCAGGTATTGAGGCGGAGATCAGAAGGTCAAGGTTTTGAATCCCCCCAGATGGCTTCCGAAAGATCCATTATCGTTGCTCCGAAAGAGAACAAAGAATAGACGGAAACAACAAATAAAAAGAAAAGCTCTTTTAGATCGTTAATGATATGAAGTATTTTTGATCACTAAAAATTAAAAGGAAGTTTTTGAGTAGAGAAAAGCACATCGAAAGGGCGACGGTCATCTAATGTTGAAAAAAAAGCTGGACACACAGAAGCAAACAGTGGGGGAACAAAAGAAGTAGAAATTATTTAAGTAGTGCCCTCCAACCAATTAAAAAGCAAAACTATTGATGGCTAACGGGAGATTTGCTAGCACTACTCTTATACACCACATTTTCCGACAATTCTTCATTTTAAATGTAGGTGTTTTACACCCCCATTTGCACAATCTAGGAAAGAAGCTGAGCTGAGTAGTATGCAACGTCCAAGCAGAGAAAATCGAGACACAGGTCGATACAAATTCTCACAACAAAGTAATAATTATAATAAATAGCATTTGTATAGCGCATATCCCCGCTCAACAGCAGGCTCTATGCGCTTTACACTATATTATTACCCCAGCAGACCATAGAACACTCCGAAACATTCTCAGCTTCCCGGGAAGCATACAGTGCAAGCAGCTGATGAAGCGCTCACAAACTAACAAACTGACAAGATCTTTCGCTGTCTATAGCCGGGTACTCATTCCCACCTGGGTGAAGTGAAGAAAATTCGTGTAAAGTGCCTTTCCCAAGGACACAGGGTCGGGTCCCTGACGGGATTCGAACCCACAACCTTACGGTTGCGAGTCCGAGAGCCTAACCACTAGGCCACCGACGTAGAGCGAACTGAGACGAACGCAAAGTCTATGGCGAGCGACGGCAAAGAGCCAGCCTGTAACTATTGCACTTACAACACCATAGACATCGGTAAATAACCCAGAACACCTCAAGGGTCTAAAGGATTGCCTTAGAATTAGATCCTAATCTATAGCAATCATTGAACTAACAACAACAAATAATAATATAGATTTTACTTAATCTTCGTACTCAGCTAATCAAGAAACAAAAAATCCGCAACAATTAAAAAGAAAACAAAAGTAAGGACAACGACATGCTTCACATAATCGCAAAATAAGCTGAAGATATTTATTTTTTGTGCAGGTGGTTACATTTACAGTAGACCAGATTATCAGATGATACTGTCCAGCCCTATATTGTAATTATGTTAAAATATTCAAGGTCAAAATGTGAAACATGAAAAATCTGGCTGCAATGTGCATGTAAATCTTTCTCTCTCTCTCTCTCTCTCTCTCTCTCTCTCTCTCTCTCTCTCTCTCTCTCTCTCTCTCTCTCTCTCTCTCTCTCTCTCTCTCTCTCCGTTATATGTTATCCATATCTCTTGTTTTTCTATCTTTCTGCTTGATCCCCCCCCCTTCACTTTCTCTCTCTCTCTCTCTCTCTCTCTCTCTCTCTCTCTCTCTGTCTGTCTCTCTCCCTCTCTCTCTCTCTCTCTCTCTCTCTCTCTACTTCTCTCTTCTCTCCCTTCCACTAAGCTCCACCTCTCTCTGTCTCTCTCCGTCTCTCTCTCTCTCTCTCTCTCTCTCTCTCTCTCTCTCTCTCTCTGTCTCTCTGTCTAGCTCTCTCGTTACAGTGTACTGATCAATATTTTTACTCCGATGAAAGAGAATTGAGGACTGCACTTGTTAACAGAATGCCTGCAACCTCTGTATTTCAGGGTATTTTTTCATACCGTTATCTCATCCGTAAAAAGAGTTAATGTATTACGTCCCTAGCGATACATTTTAGACCATTTACGAGGCCGGCTGCCTCGACACTGCCCTGCCAGCGGTGACTCGGGCTGAGAGGTATACAACGTAGCAGAAAAACCGAGATACTCGATAACAAAAAACATCTCCACACAGAAAGCAAACTCCTATCTTCTAAATTTACATGCGACAGCAAAATGCCTATTAGTCACACCGCAAACGATTGTATCTCATATGTGGCTGATAACGGAAACTACCCTTACGCTTTGAGCTTTGGCTGTCAGTTGTTTTTTTTCCTTTACTTTTGTCTTGATGGTGGTTCACGTCTGTTTTCATATTGTTCATTAGTAGATCTTCTATTTCCACTCGTACGATTCTTTGAGTGAAAAGGAGGAGAACTACAAGGCTTTAAGATGTCGTCTATGTTGAAAGCTACCTTTGGCGTGATAGCTTCAAGGAAGGTCTCGATATTGGAATCGAACAACTTTGTGTTTTTGACGGAGCTTAATGTGTCCAGAGTACGTCTGATATTCGAGTTTTGGCAACAATCGATACTGTCCGGAATCTTGACGTTTTCTGCCTCTGTCCACGTCAAATGATCGACTAGTTTTGACCCGATGCTTTCTGTGTTTTTAGAACTGCATTTCTTCCTCTCTGTGTTTTGGGAATTCTCTGATTTTAAGATGGTCTGACCGTCATAAGGAGTCAAGTTTCCCTGGAACACGGTACGAGAAAGCAGGATATCCTGGGATTGCGTTTTCGATTTTAAGTGTTCATCTAGCGTAGACGGTCTTGGCATGATTGATTCAGTGTTTTCTTCGTAGACGCTTTTATTACCGCCCTTTGCTACCATTTCTTTATGAACTGGTTCGTTTGAGGCGTCTCTCTCAACAAAATCGCTTTCTCCTTTCTCTATATCTGGTTTCCTTTTACATTTGGAAACTCTGGATTTTCTTCCTTCTTCGCCGTTTTGGAAACGTCGAAAGGGTTCTATGACGTCAATTATTTTGATAGCTAGTTTAGGTTTTATAAGTTCAAAAAACAGTTCATCTTCTTCAGACTGGTGAGTGCTTTGTTCTTCCTTCATTCTTAGTTGATAGTTGTTTGTGTTCATGGAATCGGAGAGCCGTTTGCTTGCACCGATCTCGCTGTCCGATTTAACAATGTTGAAGTCATTTTCTTGTTCTTTTGTGAGGCAAACATTTTTCAAATTATCATTAACGTGTTCCGGTTTTACATGTTGACCATTTGTCACCTCTTCTTTTGTTTTCAATCTAGTAGTCTGTACTGAGGAAACTTTGGTCTTTGACGTGTTCGCTGTTACCTCTTCGAGGTCACGAGCAAGACATGAGCAGCTTTTCTTTTTACTAGATATACGTTTTTCAAAACCTGATGTTTCCATTTTTAATTTACTGTCCTGGTGGAATTGTTTTGACCCATGCAATCCATTTTGGAACAAAGACAGACGGCCGGATGGCTTCACTTTAGTACGCAAACTCGAAAACAAATTTGGGAATCTTTTTCCTTTCTCGGCTTGAGTCTTTGGAAAAGGCGCAGGTGTTGCTTTTGTGGCTATGGTCATGTCGGATTGCTTATTCTGTATTTGCTTACTTTCTCTTTGCAAAGTCACTCGATGGAAGAAAATGAGATCGTCCCTCAATATTTCGGCCCTGGTTTGAGATTCAGCTTCTTCGCCGAGCGTATCTTCTTCCACCAATGAAGATGTTTGAGGTTCAGGTGCATCATGTCGCGGTGACACCACTTTGATTTCTCTCCTCCTCTGGGTCTTAGGACTGTCTACCATATTGACACACATCTGACGTGTAGAAGTTCTGTGCTGTCCTTTGTCGCTGCCCATTTGTTTCTCATCTAGAAAAGTTCCCCATTCTGGCTTCGAATCTTTAATGAGGAACGAATGCTGCATGCAGCCCTTAAAAATTTCACCCCACGTTAACCCTTTTCTTTCCTTGCATACTTTCTCTGTCAAATGCCTACGACACAAAGCATCTTTCAAATTCTTTGATGCAGCCATCTTTTTCACCGTCCAAGAGTGATTAAGGTTGGCGTGTTTAGAAGTAACAACCGGAGAGACCAAGCGATCCACCTTGACTTGTGGCTCACGTTGTAGACTCTTGATGTGATGTGGAGTGTCGTGGGGCTTACTGAGAGGCGAGGTGAAGGGCTTCACCCCAGCAGTAGCGTCAATATCCCCTGAACAGGTGTCTCGAATTGGGTTTGACATGATTTGGTCAATACCAAAGCTACAATTTGGCTTAGTGCTCTCATGGAAATCTTTACTAGACCTTTTCTTTTTCTCCTCGTACCATGCGTTGTGTATATCTGAAAACTGCGCAGAACACTTTGTTTTTATCCCCGAATGTTCTTGACATCGTTTCTTTTTTGTAATTGAAAACTGTTGTTCATTTTTCAGGAATGTTGTGAAATTTTCGTGAACTATGTCCCTTCTGGTGCTGAGCAATTGTTGAACGTTATCTCTGTTGGTATTTGACGATCTTCGAGTTGTGTGCGGATTTGTCGTGGAAGACTGGCAAACTTCGCCGAAGCATTGTTTTTGTACACAGCAATTGTGATGAAGGGTGTCTAGCCGGGCTGAGAGATTGATTTTTGTTCACGTGGCCAAACCACCGAGAATGTCATCAATATTGATTCCCACCTTTGGTTTTATCTTTTCAATGAAACTTTTCGCATCTTCTATAGTCATCTTTTCTCCACGAAAACCTCCAGATTCTTCTCCTTTGTGCCAAAGGCCTTTATGAATATCGACCTTGCATCTTGCTCCTGAATCACGTACATAGTGAGGTTTAGGGCTGGAGTGACAGCGAAACTCACCGTCCAACCTGTCGTCAGCAAACAGATCTGAGCTCCACGTAATATTTGAGTGCTCACGAGTGACGGCCCCTACACTTTGACACCGTTTTGTATTGTATGTGCTTTTTAAAGACATAATTTCAACATTTGAGTTTAATTTACTTGCATTATCAGATTTTACAGGAGTTGTCACTTTCGTTTCAGGCGATAGTGTTTGAGAGTTGAGAACCAAAGCCTCATTTAAACTGTGCAGTTGTTTTGTACCACAGTTTGTATCGCATATTTTGTCGACTTTATGAAGCTTATTTCTTTCTTTCCTTTCCCGTACATCACTCATGTTTAGAGAAGACGCATTTTTGGGATTGCGATGTGTACATTTGTTCTTTTCGTGGCTAATGGTCCATGAGTTCCTCTCAGAAAAGGGTGATTGTGCGTTGTAACATCTTGTGCCATACACGTTGCTGCTTTTTCTTTTCGATTTATTTTCTATTTTCTTTTGACTTAAAATGTCATCAATTTGCAGAGACTGCTTTGGTTTGAGTTTTTCTAAAGTGTTGTTCACCTCCACGGTGCTCATTACTTCATTTGTGTCCAAAGTGTGCGTTTCTCGCTGACGCAAAATGTCCAAAGTGTAAGTGTGTGTTTCTTGCTGACGCAGAATGTCATCAATGTGCAGGTACTGCTTTGGTTTGAGTTTTTCTAAAGTATTGTTCACCTCCACGGTGCTCATTACTTCATTTGCGTCAAACGTGCGTGTTTCTTGCTCACGGGACCAGCATGTACTGCTCGGTTTCCTGTGCGCATTTTGATCAGACTTCTTTCCTTCTTTTTGTAGGAGTTTATCATGTATCTTTAGTGATGACTTCTGCCCTACCTTCTCCGTGGTAAGTGCTTTCTTTTTTTTGCGTTGAACCTTGGTTTCTTTAGCAATGTGGGGCTGTAGGTATCTATAGCAAGTTCGGAGCGTTTTGTCTTTCTCCTTTTCAGAAGCGTCTATTGCTCCAGTATGAGCCAGTATATCATCAATATTTAAAGACAACTCAGGCTTGAGTTTATCTAGAAAAGATAACAACGTCTGGTTCGTATCCTGGATTCGCTGATTTCTGCCATTGCCGAGGTAGTCGCACCTATTATGATTCGTTGTGTCCAATTTCTTCTGTTCGGCTCCTGTAGTGTGATCTTCTGCCTCAAGACACGTTTTGTTGTTTTCTCGGGGTTTCAAGAACATCTCGTATACACGATTTAGGGTTTCTTCTTCAGTTTTCTTCCTCTCTGCAGCCTGATTTGAAGAAATTATCTCGCCTTGAAGTATGTCATCTAGATTGAGTTTAAGCTTCGGTTTCGTGCGATCTATGAACTCTTGCATATCGTCTAGATTTTTGTTGTCACTACAAACCTTACTAAGCAATAATGTGTGAGGTTCTCTTTTGTCGCCTACGCTACAACGCTTTCGCACATTTTTAATAGTCTCCCAGTCTTCTGCATTGCACTTCCCATAAAGAAACTGGCTCTTCTTTTGCGGTTTCTGCTTCAGAATTTCATCTATGTTCAACGACAACTTTGGGCATAGGCTAGCTATGTCACATGGCTTATCAGCATCAACGCTTAACTGCTCTTTGAATTTCGCAATTACGGAGTCCTCGTGGGGTTTCTGATATTTTTCACTTTCGTATAAAGGCAAAGAATCAAGGTAAAATTGTCGTGGGGACAACCCAGTTAAAGTCCAACAGTCTATGATTGGCTCTTCCTGTTTTCGTTTACAAGCCTTCCAAGATTTGATAATACGCATCGACTCTTCTTCTACCTTCGCTGAGGGAAGGCTCGGGTTAGCATGCTTAGCAAACTTCGATTTTTGAGGGTTGCAAGGGTCCTTCATGTCGTTTTTCTCATTCTGAGAGAGTAGTCGATCAAGTTTGATTCTGTTTGGCCGGTAGCGGGATCGTCTCTGTTTTTGCAACCGGCACCAAGCAGCTTCGTAGTTGTTTGGCTTACATGGGAGAAGGACTTCTCCTTGGTTCGATTTCCCATATTTCGCAAAACAAGATTTTTCATTTTTGTAAGGCTTTAAAATACAATCAAGAGTTATTTTTGGTTGCAACTTTTTTCTTATCGCTAAATATTCTTCCATATGAGAATTGTCCTTTTTACATTCTTCCATTTCTGACAAGAAGACAGCTGAGTCTGGATTCCTAACTTGGGTTGTTTTGTGCTGCTTGGAAAAGGGTTGAACCTTCATGAGCTTGTCTATGGTGATACTGCCTTGAAACAGCTGTTTTTTACCCCGGCCCGGAGATACCATGTGTGGTACACGTAGCCCATCGCCCTGTGCTGCGAGAGTTTGTGCATTTAGACCTGTTTGATTCGCTTTCTGTGTTTGTAAGTTATTAATCTGTAGCCCGCCATCTTTGCTTGTCGACTCTCCTTTCTTGCTCTTTGGCACTTGTTCTATACGAGATATCATCTGTTGGATTAGACTGTCACGAGCCCCCACTCCCTCGTCTTCTGTAATCTCCAAAGTTTGACTTTTACCTTTACGAGATTTTTTCTCAAGTGCTAATAATAATTCTGATTTTGGAGTTTTTTTGTAAGTACCGAACCGACCCTGCACCTCAGCAGTCCGTTGAAAGCTTGAGGTTCCTTCTTGTAACACTGTCCTGTTTCCTGTTTTCTCCTGATCTGTTTTTCTTCCTCTCTCTTTTCCCTCATTTTTAATTCTCTCGACATCAGTGTCAAGCCCATAAACCAACGCAGGGCCACCTTTGGCTTTAGACTCTTCGTTCGTTGCCGTTGATTTGTTTGGAGTGCCATCTTCGACATTCCCATCTAGGAAATACGAGGCGAGATGACTTGATTCATCTGTCTCCTCAGTAGTAAGATGATCATCAGGTGGTAACCTGCTCTGATCTTGAGACGAACCTGCTGTTTTCACACCTTCTGTGTACTGCGTTTCTACTGCGACTCTTTTCTGTTGTTCTTTACCAATCGAAGCTAGTAAAACGTTTTCTTCATGCTGCCCATGGTGCCCTTTGACTGTGTCCCTTCCAGGTTGCTCTATGAGTTTAAGCGCGTCTGCTGAGTTTATTTTTGCCTCTTGTATCGTCCCCGTGCTGGTTCCTGCGAAATATTCTTTCAGCGTTCCTTCCATATTGTCTTTCGACGTTTCTTCTATACTGGTTTTCGAAGTTTTTCCCAAATTGTCTTTTTCTTTCATATTGCCTTTTGACATTTCTTTCACTTTGTCTTTGGACGTTTCTTTCATAATGTCTTTGGACGTTTCTTTCATAATGTCTTTGGACGTTTCTTTTCCTACGCCTTCTCTTGTCGCGGTGTTATATTCCTCAGCCTTTAAACCCGTACTACTAATGTCACGTGTGGTTTCATCATAGTAGGTGGCTCGGTCCCCTTCCCCATCCGGAGCATTGGTAGTACTGGCGGTTTTCAGAACACGTTTCATCTCTTCATTGTCTCTAACAAGATCGCCTTCCGCATCTCCTCTACTTTTGGATTCGTCAAATCGACCAGTTTCCCCACCCTCTTTCTCAAGGTTTGGGGGAATCTGTCGTTTCTGTGAGCCCGCGGTATCCGTCACATCGTCACTTTTCTCACGACCAGGTACATGAGCGATATCCTCTTCACGAGAGGAACTTTTCCTCGGCATACTTCCCGGGTGATTCGCATCGTAGGAACCAGTATCAGTGACTGCCCTTTGAGGAGTAGAGTCTTTATTCGCCACTTCACCTGCGGAAGAAGATTCTGGATCTTTGTCACCTGATTTTCTTGTAAAGCTGTCAGAAGCTTCTCTTTTGCTGGCATGGGAAAGCAACGTATCTGGATCAACACTTGATTCCTTTCCATCATTAACAATAGCCGGGTGTGGTTTTGTTTTATGTTCTAAGCTTTCTGACTCTATCAAGCTGAGGCGCTCTGCTTCAACAGTCGGTTTTTCCTTTCCGCTCTTGTCAATAACACCCTCTAGCACTGCGCCCTGAACAACTACTGGTATATTTTGCGTCTCTTCCTGAGAATGTTCCTCGAAAACGTCTGTTTGAGAACGCTGCTGAGTTTTAAAGTCTTCCTCGTTTAGCATAGGTACATTTTGTGACAGGTCCTCGCTCATAATTCTGTCAATCCCCTGTTCCTGAAAAGCCACAGTAGAGCTCCAGGGCCGGGCCACTAGCGGTTGACTCTCGTCTTGACCTACCTCGATCACGGTTTCTGCCGAATCTGACCCAGCTTCGGACATCCCGTCTGTTTCGATATCGTCCCAGATAGAAGGCAATTCTTGCAATGACGCCTGATTCACTTGTTGTACACCTAGTGCATCTGTCTTGGGAGCAGCCGTTGACAAAAGGTCATTTTCATTAATAACAAAGACGTTTCCACTTCTCTCGGATCTTTCTGTTGGCTCCACAGGTATGACAGCGGAATTATCCCCCTCCTGACTGTCTCCGCTCACAATGCTCATGTCTTCGTCTTCCATTTCTTGCTGTTCCTTGAGAATCTGGCTGAGCGGGACTTCAGTCATCGTAAACCTACGAGCCAAGGCTCTGAGGATTGTTTTCAGCGCGCCGCCGGACTCTTGGTTTGGCATTGTGTCGGAGAGCAACGTGCTCTCGGAGGAACTCTTTTCTGGGATGACCTCCTCCTCCTCTTCTTCCTCTTCCACTTCCTCTTCCTCTTCCTCTTCCACATCCTCTTCCTCACTCTCCTTCCGCTCAGGAAAAGGATGAGTGATAGCGTGAAGCAGTCTTAAAAGCTTCGCCTTGTCTTCCCGATGCAGCCATCTGTAGACAGAATGCATTAGACACTCTGTTTATATAAATAAAACGACAATATCATACGCACTCCCCGAATCTAGAACCTGTAAACCAGCGTGTGTGGTCTAGCGGTTAGGTGCTTCGCCATCTGGCTCAGAAGACCCACTTTCGATTCCCTTGTGGGGAACATTTTTTATCGAGTATATTGGTCTTTCTGCTTGCACGTTGTTTCCCTGTCAGACGGCGTTGGCCTTGACAGGCAGGAGAGAAGTCCACTTTCTAAATGATCTAGATTGTGTCGGTCGGGGCGTGTAAAAAACCTACTTAAAAAAAGAGAATTAGTTAAGAACATACTGAGACAACGACACTGTTCTAACTAAAACATATGCACACCCATAGAGCAAAAACAACTGGCTCAAAACGAAGAAGTGGAGGTCACCCATTAGTTTCCGGGGACTTTGTGTCTATCTTAGTTTAAAGTAAAGCACATATAAGAAGAACCATGTACTGCCCCAAAAAGGATTATCATATATGGATACATATGCACCAGCGAATTGAGACATTCTTTAGAATTAATCATAACTATATAGACTTCTATAAATTCTAAAATCAAGGAAGAAAAATCACAAAGCGTTTACATCAAGCTTGCATCCCCATGCATTTCCAGATGAATTATAAGTATATAAGCATCAATACACTGGCATTTATGGTTGAGCGGCCAGGATTTTACGCCCCCATAGAGCACAATGTAGATCATTTAGGATGCAGGATTCCACCTTACTCTGCAGGTCAGGGGCAACCCGGGCTAAGAGTGGTACAACGTCCCTGCAGAAAGGTCAAGCTTTTTTAAAATAACATTTCACCCTACACGGAAATCGAACTCAAGTCCTCTGCATGCGAAGGCGAAGCGCCTAACCTCTATGCCATAGAGGCTAGTGGCCTACTTCTACTCAACAATGTTAGGAGTCGTTTTTTTTATATATTTTTGTGTTTCTATGCGTGTTGGAGTAAAAAGGACGACTAGGCAATGATAAAAGAGTGCAGGAGAAAAATCAAGACCTACAGGAAGAAACAACAGAGGGAAAGAAAAGAAGTAAGACCTACCTGTGGCACTCTTCATCAACCAACTTAAGTAACTTTCCACAGTTTACATAAAAAAACAAGCACAAATAATACGTTATTGTTTTCTGCTGTGTGTTGAGCATTACACGAACATAGTGTGAGTCTTTTTTTCAGATTATATGGGGAAATATGTTTTTTTTTGGTTTGTTTTAGTAGAGGTTTTACGGCGCCGGCAACTGCATAAGTTCATATGAGCGCCAAGGAGTGGATGTCAACAAATAAGCCTTAAAGGGAATCAGGCTTACTCTGCTCACCTCTCTAGCTTCAACAGCACAAAGTCTGCTTCAAGGCACCCCGGAAAGAGCGGGTCACAAGAGCGTATATAAAAAAGTAGAAGAAAAATGACGATAGTAAGGATTAGGAAAGAAAAAGCAGCAGTTCCCTGTTGAAGTTCAGGCACATTTAAGAGCCTGACATTGATGAATCAGCCCATTTACAATTACAAAATTCTACTGTGTGTAAAACATGGTTAATGTCCCCTATTTGAGAATGGTCTAAAGACACTTCAGTCAGTAGCACTGCCCCTTGGGGTAAGTATGTTTTTGACCCAATATGTTTGGCATCATGTTGGGAAGTATGATATTATAACCCGATCTGGCCCTTTGATAAAGAGCCGAAGCCCAGAACCGTCAAAATGATCAACAACATAGTTGTGAGGGTATAAATCCACCCACCCTGTCTTTATACCCCGATAAAAAAAGAAAAAGAAAGGACTCAAGCCCCCCTCCCCCCACCCTCCCCCCACCCAAAGGCGACCACAGAAAAAAAATCACTTAGGTATCCATTTAACAGATACAAACAATAAATATAAATTCTTAAAAAACAACAACAAACAAACCCAAACCCAAATAAATAAATCTACGATAAATCAATGGTAGCCAATCCCTCCAGCTCCAAACTACCCCCCTCCCCATAAAAAACAACCCCAAAACAACACAAACAAAACTCCAAAAGAACATGAAAAGAAGTAACCCCCCCAAAAAAATTTTTATTAAAAAAACAACAACCCCAAAAGGGGGAAAAAAGAACACCTCGGGTGAGAATAGCCACTTCCAAAAAGAAAGAAGAATGAAACAGAACATCCAATGCATAATTAAGTAGTCGCTGACATTGGGTAAGCCTGAGGGGGCACGTAGAGACCACGACGCTGTGGGAACTTGTACTTCTCGTTGTTCCTCTTGATGAGCTCCAGCTGGTCTAAGACCGCCTGCCGAGAAAAGAACACCAATTTTTTTTTCATAATGTGTGTATTTAACGCCCCCATCGACACAATTTAGATCGCTTAGGAAGCGGGCCAGCCCTATAAGTCAGGGCCAACCCACCCTGAGAGGGACACCATCCCAAAAGAAAGATCGAGATATTCGATTTAAAAAAATCTTTACTCGCGAATCGAACTCGGGTCTCCTAGAGGCAACATACACAACGAGTGCGAGTCTGATAACCTAACCACTAGACTGCCAATGTCCACAAAACGTCTTCCAGTCGTATGTAATAGATGATGGCGAAAGTAGTACAATGTAATGGAAATTGAAGGAACTAATCCCTTGTAAATAGGAGGATGCAAAGCTCTAGCGCTGTGATTTTCTGTTGTTTTACAGACCCTATTACACATGTAAAATAGAAAAATAAACAGCCCTTACACTTTCCTTGATTTCATATGTATTGACCAAGCCTCTCATTTGGAAGAAAGATGTCACTAGGTGAAAAAGAGGAAAAGGGGGGGGGGGGGTAGGGGATAATACTCGGGAAATCTATTCCACTATTTCTACCGCCAAGGAAAAGATGTATTTATATTATGCATACGACTACTACTACTACTTTAATAAGACCGAATGTCAAGAACACAAAAGGCCAAATAATATGAAGGCATCATCACATTTCAGTTAGAAAGATGTATTGTAGGGACGTGTAACTTAGACCTTGCGTGTCAGGACCAAGGTAACAAAGTAGAGTACAACACCTTAATATACAGGTAAAGGATCCCATCAGACGTTACAACGACCAGCTGATGATGGAGACAATCAGATTGCCAACACTGAAATGGACCCTCATGGAGAGGGACAAGGAGGCACGGAGCTTCCCGTCTTCCCAAAACCCCAGTTCTAGATTCAAGTAATTCAAGTAATACAGTCATAATGCTTGGAGGAAAAAATAACTTCTCCTCTTGAGGATCGAACGCGTGCCTGCGCGCGCAAGGTAAAGGTCCGCAAATTACAGAACATACGATGTTGTACATGTTTGCATGACACTGGGCTGGTTTTTGTCTATCTGCCTGTCACTCAGGGCCTACAGATGTGTTATGAATACACTGTAGTACAAAAATAAAACGACAAACACAGATAGCTCTTCCTATGTTGAAGAGTATCGTCTTCTTCATGCGCCACAGTTTTCATGAATACAATGTTGAACCACACTTAACAAGAAACACGTGTTGCTTTAACTTGTTCAGACATTAAATCCCCAATGAAAATACACAGAAACTATTTTAAGCAATTTTGCAACTTCAAAGTTTGATAATTTGTACCGTATCTCTAGTCTCCAGTATCTACAATATTCTACTTCTGATCTAAATTGCGTAACTAAGTGTGTAAATCATTTAACAAATTATCTACTTTTCAACACTGAAAGAGACACTAGCATAATGATCCCCTTAAGTATGATCAGTCACTTACCATAGCGACATTAGACGCCCCAGATTTGGTGAGATCTTTAATTCGAGCTACGGTAGCACGAAAGGCAGCTGCTCTTGCTTCTCTCCTTGCCTTTGCTTCCGCTGCTTTTCTTGCATTGTCTTCTGCAGCTTTTAACGCTTTCTCCTCCGCTTCCTTTCTCGCCCTCTCTGCTGCTTCTTTTCTTGCTTTCTCTTCTGCTTCTTTTCTTGCTTTCTCTTCTGCCTCCTTTCTCGCTTTCTCTTCTGCTTCTTTCCTTGCCTTTTCCTCAGCCTCCTTTCTCGCTTTCTCTTCTGCTTCTTTCTTTGCTTTCTCTTCTGCCTCCTTTCTCGCTTTCTCTTCGGCCTCCTTTCTGGCTTTCTCTTCTGCCTCCTTTCTCGCTTTCTCTTCTGCCTCCTTTCTCGCTTTCTCTTCTGCTTCTTTCCTTGCTTTCTCTTCTGCCTCCTTTCTCGCTTTCTCTTCGGCCTCCTTTCTGGCTTTCTCTTCTGCCTCCTTTCTCGCTTTCTCTTCTGCCTCCTTTCTCGCTTTCTCTTCTGCTTCTTTCCT